CGTCCGGCTCCGCGCAAACTGTCGTTTGTCACGCCATCAGCTCACATAATCCGCTTTGACAGGTTTGATCCCTGCTTATTTACAAAGTAATGCAATTTTTCAAGCATACTCAGTATGTGAAAATACTATGATAAGCTGGATACCACTAGTGAGGAATAGTAACGTTTATAGAGCATGTTAACAGTCATTTATGATTACTAAGTTTACTACGCACCGATGGAATGCCACCGAGGCAAGCAAGCTGAGTGTCTTCAACACCGGAAGTGTAGGCTTAACTTCAACAAATAATCGTTTAATAATAACAAAGGCCAATCATGCTTAGATAGTCCTTAGATAGGCTGATGTGTGGATTAATAAGCTGTTAAAACTATTTTAGATGACTTTTTTCGCGGCCGTGATCTGTGGTGTGGAGATGTAAACAAACTRCTAATTTGCATATTTACATGGCAAATTTTTCCAACTTCGCATAAAGTTTTCATACGGCCTGTGGAAAAACCCAAACTAATTTTTGTASTTCGTGTTATTCTATCATTTGAACATTGTACAGCTTGAGTTTTGTAAAAATTGGAGAATGGCCACATGCGAAAAATCGCTTTTATAAATGTGAGGTAAAATCGAGACTGTGAATAACTGTGCTGGAAGAATGCAATTTTTTCTATCTAAAGTTTAGTTTAAAACGTCTAAAATCACCTGGAACAATTGTTCAACACCCCTTTTCTTGAATTCAGTTGCAAATTTGATTGTAACTTGGGTTTTCACCTGGAGCGAGAATGTTTTTGAAAGCGTAATTCGCAGCCGTTTCTTGAGCAATTTTTAGACCGACACGGGGTGAAATCGTTTTTTTCAAAAAAATCCGGATTTTTTACGTAGATCGAAAAACCGACCCYAGTACGTTCATAAACTCATCAAATAGTGTCTACAGACCAAAAATGAAGGACTTTTATTTTTTGACTGTGGCCGCCCCGTGCTCGATATTTCTGGACAGCCGCTCTTAATTGGTGTCAGATTTTTGAGACAGATTTTTCTGTCACGCCCGTGGAAGAGTGATCATTTTACAGCGAATTGCACGGTTACAAACAAATTCTCTTTTAAACATTATATTTTCTTGATTGTTGACATCTTCCACCACGCATCATTTCTACGGGATCTCCCTGAATGCATTTGGAAACCAAATCTCGTCTCTCGAAGAAAATATCACTTGGTGTCAGATTTTTGAGTAGGATATGTAAATTACCACAGCCCTTGGCAAGAATAATTTCTGCGTCGTGGAGACCCAAGCATGCCGTAGTCCTAAAGATGCCCATCTTAAAGAGCTTTCTTGATCATCCTTCTGAAGTACAGCAAGTCTTTCTGTTGGAAAAAGTTGGTAATGTTTTACATTTTCTCCATCCTTTAGTAAAAGATCTTAAAGATGTTTTTGGTACATACTTGGTTGTAGTCGATGTTTCTTTCCAGTGCAATGTATCCGGCATACTATAAGAATGTTGAAATGCAAGAATTACGCTAAAAACACTTTATTATTCTTATCAGTCAATCGAGTATTGCTAAGGTCATTTACGGTGTTGTTTTTAATGAAAATGAATTCACACAGCCGACTGATGCGTACATGTACTTAAACCATACGTCAGACATTTTCAGTTATTACTATTGATAGAGTATTTCAATGTACTCACAATACAAACCTTGCAAAGAAACACTCCCAGTCGTCCCAATTCCTCTGTTAAGGTATGGTCTTAATTAGAACGACCTGTTGGTTATCAAGATAGTTTGTTATCGCCGGCTATACCGTGATTTCCAATTTTAATCGATAATGAGAGGTGCGATATTTCCTGTTTTGTTTCTTCTTATCGTGGCTTCACATCCGCAGTACTTACAATGAGTGTCCAATGATTTGTCTCATTCACGGGAAACAACAAATCTCAAGAAATGTCGTGTGAGTAAAGCTTGGTGTGGGATTTATAGTAAATCAAAGCGTTTCTATGAATGTAGAGCACTTTGTAGATCAAAATGACGTGAAGCCACCCGGTAAAAATCTGACACTAGTTCCAAAAACCTGACTAAAAATTCTGACTCGAAAACCTGACACCAACTTCACTTTGGTTCGTGTCTCAACTTTGGTAATGTATCTTCTCCATACAGCGTTATCGAACGATAAACAAATTATACTCTAGAGATTGTCGCGTTGTCTGAAATGGGGAAAATAAAGTTCAAGCTAAATAGGTATTTAGGAATTTTCGAGTTATTACAGTAAAAATGGTTTTTTTTTTTTAAATTTATTACAGTAATAAAAAATTGAATATAATTACAATTAATAGACAATAAATGTAATGAATAATACAATAATAATCCAGATAATAAGAAAAATTATGGTTGCAATGGAAAAACGAAAGAAAAGGAAAAGAAGCTAAACTAATCTCGAAAACTTAGAATAGAGGGGGAAAGGAGTAAAGTTAATTACTAAATGCATGAATAAGTATAAACTATCTTATGAAGTTACAGAACCATTTCTCTTGCTACGCTTCATTCTTATTATTTTTCTTACAGATATATTTTTCTATTAATTGCTTGCGTGAAAAATTATCCTCATAAAAGTTTTTCAAATTAGGGAATTTTTTTYCCTACAGCACCATATATATGTGCTTTTTACAATAAGCTATGTAGTTTAAGAAAACCGAACAGCAAGAGGACTGAATAATGCCAGTTACAATATCTTGTTCAGTAAATTAATTCTCTGTTTTATTAGATCTTTTCAAAAATATATAAAATTATTCCAGAATGACTGGGTTGTTATTACTTAGTGATAACAGGTAGTTATATACGTTTGATTACGTCACGTTCAGATATATTAAGCGCACGTGCTAGTTCACTTATCAGTTGCTTCAGTTTAGGTTCAGAAATCTGAACCATCCTTGCTCCTATAACGTACATTCAGGCCAAATTCGTAAAATTAATATTTTTATGTGAAAGGTCAAAGGGGATCACTGTGGTTACTTTTAGTAAAGAACATTTCAGTAACTATCAAAATGTCACTTTTGAAGCCTATAGACATGCAATAAAACATGACTTTATTGAATTGAAACAATACGCCTTTTGTGTTGTGTTTACTTGAAACCTTAACTTGTTATCTAGATCATATTGACAGAAATCTGACTGATGGTTGACAATTGACATTATAACAACCTTGTTCTCTTACCTGATTTCTTCTATTGTATAAATGAGTTCTATTGTATAAATGAGTTTAGTTAATTAGTTACGATTTGAACATGTCATCGACACTCGCTACGAGAACGAACTATCCGATTACCGGACTTGCATAATCCTATTCCAGTGATTTCTATTTACGTAAATAGGGTTTGTTTCGGACACTTTCCTTACTGGAATTAGCCTAGGTGTGTATAGGCGTAGCTATTACGATTGTAGCTAATTTAGCCTTAGAAGTCTTATTTATATAAATACAGCTCAAATTGTAACGTTTGAGTGTGTCTAAGCTGTGAGTAGTATGCGTCACATGCGGACAAATGCCTTAGTAAAGTACGTCTGCGTAATAGCGCCCAAAACCTTGTTCTGAGACCCCAAACTGATTAGCACGATTATATGAAGCGATTTCTGATTGGTTCTCGCCAATTCAAATCTCACAAGATAACTGATTGGTTCATAATATAATGATTAAATGATTAAATGATTCACAATACAATGATATAATGATTACAATAGCAGTATGAATCACGTCAAATAAAGGTTTATTTCAAAAACTGGCAATAATGTAAAAGAAGTTTTAGTTATAGCGGAGCTGTACTGTGGAATAATTTGCCATTACATATAAGACAAGCATCATCACTGACAAGCTTTAAATCTCAAATACGTTGTCACTTATTTTAGAACAATTAATACTATTATTACCGGAGTCCTGGTAGAGCAGGGTTTTATTTTAACTTCCTTCGTTTCTTTTCTATTCATGATAGTTTCAAATTTTTATTGTTTTAATATTCGTATTTAATATTAGGCATATATTAACTTTAGTGTATTTAATATTCCATTGGAAATATATTTATTTAATCATTGTGATTATCTTGAAGGACCCACCGTGGGTAAATAAAATTATCTTATCTTATCTATAATATCTGTCAGCACTAAACGACTTTAGAATTCACGTCATATATTCGCCGTGAGATTATTAATGCAAGAGGATACTGAAGACTGAATATCTTGATAAGTGTGTAAGCATCAAAGTGATTTTTATCAACCGTAGGTCTAGATACAAGGTAGGTTTATACAAGGTAGGTTTATTGTTTCTTATTTCACCGACATATATGCGGGTATATGCTGGAGATATCCCAGCCTGGCTTGCAGTATATGAGTCAGTATCCAAAGTTCAAACGAAGTTGATATACTTAGATGTGTATTCTTGTTATACTTTACAAAACGCTGAGTTTGAAACTATTACTACATTTAATCATAGCTACATATATATGATTATCATTTATGGTATATATGCATGGTGAGCGAAGTTTTTATGTGAATACTCAAAGCCACTACTGAGAAGGCTATATATTAGCTAATCTGATGTGTAGACACCGAAGTTTTTGTTCCTCCTATATTTGGAAGTGCTACTTCCAGGTTAAGACCCTGAGTGTTGGTCTGGCAGGGAAATGAACGTGCAACCTTTCACGACAAAGGACAGCAAATAAGGCGAATAAAACTTGAATCCCTTGCGACATTCTTTTTATTACAATGCGAACGTCCAGCACTGGTAGCATGCAGGTTATTATTTTAATTATTTTCGTGGAATGTAATTGACCAATTATTTTTGTAACTTTTTTCGATAAATAAAATAGAAAGGGTTGGTAAAATTTAAAAATAGGTCATGCTTCATTTAAAAAAATTGTAGATACAGACTTTAACGTGGCATTGAGAAGGCATGCATCTCCCCGTGTGACGTACGAAAACAAGTTTGTTCGTGCCGTAGCACATGTTTGTGCAGTAGCACGAGATATAACGTTAAAATTCATTTATATATACACAGGATCAACTCATAGGATGATGAAGGGCTCAATCAATCACGGAGTGCTGGCCTTCGGAGTCATTCTTATCTGTTTGTTTCAAGAAGCTTTCTCGGCTATCAGCAAGGAAACTTCACCCTACCCCCCTGGATGGGAAAATGCTGCATCGTCGTTAGAGGATTTTCCTGTGAGAGAGATGGGTGGTAAGAATGTCACTATTGTGGACCCGTGGCTTTACATCGACAGACTAGGAATTTTCAAAATTATGGTTATCTCAACTGAGAGGTATTTTTCTGCTTGGGGGTTCAACTACTCGGGCAATCTTCTTTGGGGATTGCCCCTTCAGTTTGGCTGGCAGATGACAACTGGAAGGTTGAGTGTCACGAAACCCCATTCTCATGATCTGTCAATTATCACGAAGTTTTCTCCTTCAAGCTGGTGGGCTGACATGAATTATTTCTTGTCGATCATTCCATTCCTTGGAGCCTTGAATGCTGGTATCGTTATATCGGTTAAAAATCCACTTAACGTACTCAAACCTTCAAATGTCTCCATGGAATTGCGTGACAAATTTTGCACCAGTGTAAMAGAATGTGTGTCAAAACATTCGAAACTGATGAATAGCTGGACAAAATTCTTTCAGCATCTACATGAAAATACGGATAAGAATAAGAAGAATGATAAAGATGCTACCGTGGGTTTGTTGTGGACAGCTCACACGGACTCCATACGCACTGGTAAGTAATATTCACTCTCAAGCTCAAGTTCACGGGGATTTGGAAGAAGGGTAACATGTATAAGAAGAAAGCTAGAAGACTGGTATATGCAAGGGATTTAGTTTGTCTAACCTTAAAAACGAGCACTCTCGCTTATAGGTATACAGTATGTTTAAAAAATAACGTTGTCGGTAACAAACACAAGCCTACGCGACTGGAATAAAAGGGATTGTGGGTAGAAATCACTGAAGCAGTTGAATGCATGATTTTCTGATTAGTCGTGCCTCAGGTTAATAGGACGGACCCTTTGCTGGCGAGCGGGCAGTGTTGATGGAGACATTATTTAATTCCTTTACAATGACTTTAATAATGACCTTCATATTTTCAAAATTGGAACTAAATCATAACTACTTTTCATACTCATATCCCCTTTCGGTCCAGTTAACGTTGAATTGACTACCACCATTTAATTTAATCGCCTATTTTATACTATTCACAGTCATTGTGAATATTATGATGAATACCTTAGGGAATTGTAATATGCAAATAGAGTATATATAAAGGGAAGCGTGCTCCCTCTGGTGCCACTTCATTCAAATTAACGGGAAGAGTACAGACATCGACCCACCCGCCTCACCCGCGAGGAAGCGGGATAAAAACATTACACTCTGGGTTACCTGGGCATTGTTCCAGGCCAGAGTGGATGCCTCATACCTCATTAATAACAATACATAGGGTATTATACTATTAACTCTATTCGAAAAATGACAAGTAACTTTCTGTTATCCTCATCTGTTACAGCAAACCCGCTGTTCCTGGATCAGCGGGCTCTGCTATCCACTCCCGAGATGCACTTCGGTCGAGGATGGGCTCTTTTGGTTGATTTCATCGCCGCAACTTATTTCCAGACCAATCTGAACAACACACATGAACAACAGGCCATGGCTTTGCCGCCAAGGATCCTACACAATACTGATCATCCCCCTGACATTCCTGACTTCAATAAAGACCAGAATAATGCTCTGGTGATTATCAACACCATTTACTATGTAGAAGAGTTGACAAATGGAGGGTTTTTGTATTTATGGCGCAAAGCAATGTGTTCTCCTCAAGGAAGAGCAGATGGAAGAGAAATGTTAGAAAGCCTTCTACGCCATCCTTTGGTCGTCGCCAAGGATTTGGTGAAATTAGTGCTTGACTTCATCAAAGATCATAACTGCTAATCATGAAGCAAAGTAAGATACGAAATTTCTTTCAAATAAGTTTTTTACTAATGATGCTTAAGTTTACTGAATTGAAAGATTATAAGTAAGTCAAAAATTTCACTTGTTGGATCTAATAGGTATGTTTGTCTGTATCGCTCCGTGGGTAAAATGGTGCTACCATTATGAGACCTGATTCTATATTTTAAAAAATGAATAAAAATACATGTAAAAAATGTTGTTAGCATAACTGCAATGTACAGCACAACATCTTTTTGTAATTACATTTCAAGATATTTGAGAACAAAATCCAGGAATTACTTCCACATGTTCTGGGTAAAGGCTACCACCCTCCTCCCTTTCCCCCAATTCACCCCCTCCAATCCCACCCTTTCCCACCCCTCCCATCTAAATCGAGTCTCTTAGGCGGACTGGTCAGAAATTAGCAGGGGGTTTGGGAAAAGATTGAAGAAATTTCAAAATGATCAAAAAACGTGGATCTTCATGACAAACTGCAATATCTTTCCACCGTTTTAATGTAGTGCCACCAAATTTAAGCACATACATTTTGTATAATTGTACTATGTGTCCTCACAATTTCATGCAAAAATATTGAGTAGATTTTGAATTAGAAGAATTTTCTTGACCAAAGTTGTCGAAATGTGCGTAACCGAAAACTAGCTGGTTTGAGCAAATCTAACCATTTCAAGCGGATAATGATAACTTCTTACAAACATTTTGGATAGGAATGGATTTTATACCAGTTGATAAGAGGTTTCTTCCGCACACTACACCAAAAGTGGAGGATAAAATAACATAATTCTAGGAAGTTTTTTTACATGTACCCCTATAAAATGCCGCTCAAGTCACAAAAGGGAAAGTTAGGGTTAAGTTGGAATAAAGTTTTCTCCAGGTTCCATTTTGTTCGCGAAACCTAATCTCTTACCATAAATAGAAACAATTCGGTGAATTCTAATACACAATTGAGTCGCTTTCACTATTTTGCTTTTTTTGAATTTTTAATCTCCAACATTAAAATGTTACAAAAGGGAACATCGGCGAAAAACACCGAAATTATAGCTTCTTCTACAAGACTTTTTTGTAAGACCTCTTGAAGTAGAATTCTAATATGCGCATTACCAACTTGTTAGATAGTTCGTAAAAGTGTAGAATAGTGTTTTGTTTTGCGGAATTCGGCGTTTCTCTCTTGTTTTATCTGTAAGCATTTAGATACATATTTCACACGTTTTTGCTTTCATATGTTTGTAATCTTTAATCTGTAAAAAATACAGCTACTTCTTATAATAACATCAGTTCATCATTTTTATCATTGCATTCGTTTAAATCGTTTCATCAGTGCATTAGCGCATTTACGTAAGAGCCTCATCGCTTTTATATGAAAGAAAACGAAGGATGAGTGACACAGTCCTGAGTTTTATATTTTAAAATATCTTACTAAATTACCTTACTTTACAAACTCAAGGCAGTTAAGGTGCTAACACACGGTGCAACATTGCATGCAACATTGCACGCAACAGGACTGTTGTAGCGTGTCTACCCAAAACTTGTTGCATGCAACGTTGCATGCAACAAATCTGAAGTTGAATCGCGCTCTACTGTTGCAACATTGCGCGCAACAAATTTCATCATGTGAACATGTCTGCAACATTACCTGCAACATTCTGAAATTTCCAGCTAATCAGCTTGCACTTAATTTTTAACATAGCAGGCTGACACAAGCGATGTTGCATGATATTATTCCAATGTCACTCCGATTCAAATTTGCTGCTTGCAATGTTGTGTGCAACGTTGCACCTTGTGTCAGCAGCTTAAACGCCATTGAAATCTTGATGATATCATAAAGGCCATAACTATAATAAGTATAGCTGAAGTTACTTGCACTACTTCAATCGTTTGTAGCATTGTTCTGTGTAATAATACCATTAAACGTCAAGGAAACAAAACACAACCGAACACTGTGTGTGACCAGCACTAATAACGCCTTCTAAAGTATGTAAAACTTAGTTAAGAAGTACGGTAGAGGTCAAACTACTTCGTGACAGCATTTATTTCGATAAAAATTATTGTAGTTTTTAGTGAAAACTCTGCGCATGGGCAATTAGTGTAAGATACTTGTTATCAGTTTCAAAGAACATCATAGCAACACAAGACTTAATAAAAGGTAACATTAGGCAACTATTACAGCGAGTGGTTGTAGTGCTCTATTTTAGTCGAATTTAATCCCGGGAAAAAATTTCCTAAAATGAAAACAGTACGATAATGGTGTTCTCTTAGCATTCCGATCTACCATATTACACTTTTTATTTAAAATAATTAAAAAGGAATGGCAAAAAAATGAAGGCAAATATAGGGTTACATAAGGGAACTATCGAAGTAACTGGCTTTAGTACACTTTTTATAATCGATTATTATCCCCAAAAACTTTCTCAGAAAGTGAACAGCCACGATATTACTCTTCAATAGGCATTTCGATTTACCATATTACTTTTTTTATTGAATACAGCCCAAGTTACACTGGTAATATTCATGATATTTCAACTACTGTCAAATTTGTTTACTCTAGTGCATGCGAATGCTTTGCAAATTTTAATTGGAGAAACTTACCAGTCATTCCTGTTAACTATTCAATGTAATACAGTAGCTATTTGCTGTAATGGTGATGCAGGATTTAGGGTATTTGACTCTCATGCTTGTAATCCATCAGGTCTCCCAAATCCTCAAGGTACTTGTGTACTCCTCGATGTTGATGACTTTAATAAATTACTTCCAAAGATTATATGACAATTTAACAGGTTTATTTGAACTCAGAGGAGAGTGTATTACTGAGACATGCATACAAAGCAATGCTACTGAAAATCCTCTTAATGCACAAACCCACACTGAAAAGAGTGAAGTGATTGACAAAGCTGCAGATGATAATCAGCAAAGAAACAACAGTAATATTACAAATTCAAATGCCAATAATTCTTCGATTGCACGTTACGTCATCGCGGCCATGTTGGTGCCATTTAACAAAAGATTTTTCATTAGCATCCATTGTTAACGGCACCACAATGGCCGCCATGTCTTTGTCTTTTGACTCTCTTGGGAATGCTTGCAACCCATCAATATCGATGGTATTCCTTTGAGAAGTTGCTGTTTTTCATCATGCAAACCACACACCAAAAAACTTGGCTGGGGCTCCAAGTGCTTATACTTCATCAAATACACTATGGTATCCCGAGTTCACGCCACGAAGGGCGTCTAGTTTTACTTTGATTCTCTTCTGCAGTTGCTTCGTGCGATGAAAACCAGAGCCAATCAACCAGGTTTATCGGATTGTGCTTAATTGCTGCTAACAGCTGCAAGTCTTGGATTCATTTTGTGCACAGTGTTATGGCTTGATATGCGAGTCTTGCTTCAACGTCCATAAAATACACAAGATATATAAACAAATAGAAGATAAACAGCAGCCAATTATGCTCAATCAATTTAATTAAGGAGGAAAACGTAAACAGTTTCATCAAAAACCAGATGCTGTGCAAGTTCCACGACAAAAAGAAGCTCCAATACTATTGTCAAGATGGAACATGTAGACTCAGCGTTTGCCAAAAACGAAAACGGCAGAGCTTAGAAGATGCCGGACAGGACTCAAGGAAATTGATCGTAGGAGCGATGAATCGAGTTGAGAAACGGAAAGAAAACGACGGAAAAGAATGAGATCAATCTAAAGAAAACATAGAGTGAATTCAAAGAGAGATTGACGTGGCAGAGAGGAATGTTGAGTCTGTGTCGCGGCCAAAACCGCTAGAGGAGGACTGGGGCGAAGTTTTTCACACGTTTGATTATAGTCTATAATGTCATCGAGCTGTGTAACTGCAGAAGGACAAAATTGTAAGTTTTTCATAGCCTTTGATATCTTTATTAAGGTATATCGCAATTTATGTTCCTTTTCTACATTATTTACTAGTTGTGAACCGCCACTTRAAACCTGTTTAGAGTGATTTCAGTCGTCTTTAGAGCCGTGTAAGATCGAAAAAATTGTAATCAATGTAAACAACGTTCATTTGAGTAAAAGAAAAACAAGGAGCGAGTGTCACAAGTTTCTGCAGCTACATTTCGTTCACAAAATTCTGATTCCAAACTACGAATAAAGACAGAAGAAATAACGCTTGAAGTCTTGGAATTATGGTGAGTTTAGAGTTTTGAAGACCAATGTTATGGATCATTGCACAAGCACGCAAGAACCGAAGGCGCCAACTTCAGATCTCGATAATGATATGCAAATTAATGACAATACCGCAGACAGGCGCGAAAGAGAGAGAATTCCGACTGAAAGAGGAAGGCAAGAAAATATTAGAATTTTAAAAAATCGAAGAACAACCACTCTTCGCGAGGCTTCGAAGAAAAGAACGAAACTTACAGAGCTTCTCTCAGACGAAGAAAATTTGCATCTAGTTAAATCGCAATTTGAAGAGCTTAACTCCTTATTTAATGACTTTCAAGCAGCTCATGAAGCCCTGGTTGAGCATTTGACCTCCGACGAGGACAAAGATAAGGAAGATGATTATTTTATCGCCAAACAAAGCGCAGCGCTGGAGTTTCGAAATCAAATAATTCAGTGGATTGAGCTAGGAGAAGCACGATTAGCCGAACGAGCCGACCTCTTAGAATGTAATTCAATGTCATCTAAAGGCTCCAAGCGCTTGCGCCACTCAAGAAGATCGACGGGTTCAGCTGCTTCATCCAGAGAGAAGGAGCGCCTCAACCTGGCCGAGATGATGGCCGAGAGGTCACTTTTGAAGGAGAGACAACGTATTGAAGAGCTTAAACTAGAAATAGACATAGCGAAGTCACGCGAGAGAAAGAGTCTATGCCATAATGGAAGCTGAAGAATATGGTGGATTGCCTGCATACTCCAACTCAGCCCCGCCCTTGATGCGGTCTACACCACGGCAGAGAAGTAATTTCAGCGTTATACCAGAGCAGTATGAAGGAAACGGATTCAAGTGCCCCGACGCCACAACGGAGCGTAACGAGCATCGCAGCACAGAGGAAAGGATCACCACGGAAATTCATACCGCTAGCAAGGAACCCGACGAGCAGCATGGAGGAAACGGATCCAAGTGCCCCGACGCTACAACTGATTGTTCTAAGAGCAACCAAGACGGGACCGGGTTAAAGCAACAAGAAAAGCTGACGAAGTGCGAGAAATCTCACGACCTTGAAGAGTGTAAAGACTTCGTAAAGAAAACCCTGGAAGAAAGGAAGAAGTTTATAGCAGAAAAACACCTGTGCTTTGCCTGCTACGGAACCAAACACCGGTCTAAAGGCTGTACCAACAAGAAAGTCTACAGAACATGCAACAAACCACATCCAACGTCACTCCACGTAGATAACTTCAATCCCAAAGAACAACAGAAATCCAAGGACGAAAGTAAGTCAGATTCTACGACCATCGGTAGTACGTGTACTGACACGAAAGAAACTGAAATTAGTCTATCAACCACCACGCAGAATGTCATCCTGCATGCCATTCTACCCGTTATCGTCCGGGCCGAGAACGGAAATATTGCTAAGACATACGCACTTTACGACAACGGAAGTTCGGGAATCTTCATTACCGAAGAACTAAGGAACAGTTAGCAATAAAGGGAATCGACACAAGGCTACAATTTGGAACTATACACGGTTACAGTTCGGTCAAGTGCTCTATCGTCGAAGGACTGACTGTAAGTGATCTGACAGGTAACAAACCTGTCAAACTGGCTCGTTGTTACACGCGACAAGAAATTCCAGCTAGTCAGCAGCAAATCCCTACTCCCGATTCCAGAACCTTCGTCAGATAGCAAGTAACATGCCTGAACTAGTGACAGACCTCGAGGTTGGTCTACTACTCGGAAGCGACTGCCCTCTGGCGCTCGAACCCCTAGAAGTAGTTCCAGGCGGAGGAAGCGGGCCTTTCGCCATGCGCCTTCAACACGGATGGACGGTGAACGCGGCAAACCAGAGGAGCAGAAGATGGCTGAGCTGCCCAAGGACAGAGTAACACTTGCTTTTCCATTCACGTGTGCAGGCGTAGATTATTTTGGCCCTTACGTTATCAAGTTTGGCCGAAAGGAAGTAAAGCGATACGGTGCCCTTTTCACTTGTCTAGTCAGTAGAGCTGTGCATATAGAGATAGCGAACTCTCTCGATACAGATTCGTTTATACAAGCTCTCAGAAGATTTATAGCCCGTAGGGGACCGGTAAAGATGATTAGAAGTGATAACGGGACCAACTTTGTCGGCGCTCAAGCAGAACTCCGCCGAGCTCTAGAGGAAATGGATTAGGATCAGATCAGAGACCGACTTCACAAGGAAGAAATCGACTGGATCTTCAACCCCCAGCCGCCAGCCATATGGGGGGCGTCTGGGAAAGGCAGATTGGTACCATACGCAAAGTGCTAGCTGGTCTTCTCAACGAGTATGGCAATCGTATTGACGACGAAGATCTACGCACATTAATGTGCGGAATCGAAGCAGTAATCAATTCGCGACCGCTAACCTTCGTATCCAGTGATGCTAACGATCTCGAGCCTCTCACACCGAGTCATTTACTGACAACAAAATCCACCGTAATTCTACCGCCTCCGGGGAACTTTCAGAAGGGAGATGTCTACATGAAGCGACGGTGGAGAAGGGTTCAGTATCTAACGAATCTCTTTTGGACACGGTGGCGTAGAGAATACCTACTGACGTGTCAACAGCGAAGTAAATGACAGAATCCAAAACGCAACCTAAGGATCGGAGACGTAGTAATCGTGAAGGATGACAGTGCTCCTCGGAACTCATGGACGATGGGACTCGTCAAGGAAGTTGAGCAAGATGAACAAGGCCTGGTGAGAGCCGCTGTCTYGAAGACCGACAAGAGTGAGCTGAGACGACCAACCAGCAAGCTTTGTGGTCATCTTGGCCAAGGAAGAACAATAGACATTGAACTCATATATTATAAAGCTGTTTGCGTTCAAGAACATTTATAATTAGTTGTTGTTTAAGTCAGTAAACCTAGGTTAGGTTTAGGGGCCGGGAATGTCGCGGCCAAAACCGCTAGAGGAGGACTGGGGCGAAGTTTTTCACACGTTTGATTATAGTCTATAATGTCATCGAGCTGTGTAACTGCAGAAGGACAAAATTGTAAGTTTTTCATAGCCTTTGATATCTTTATTAAGGTATATCGCAATTTATGTTCCTTTTCTACATTATTTACTAGTTGTGAACCGCCACTTRAAACCTGTTTAGAGTGATTTCAGTCGTCTTTAGAGCCGTGTAAGATCGAAAAAATTGTAATCAATGTAAACAACGTTCATTTGAGTAAAAGAAAAACAAGGAGCGAGTGTCATAAGTTTCTGCAGCTACAGTCTGGTCTGCTCATCTCAAACATAATCTTGTTAAGCTAGAAGGTGTTCAACGTAGAACAACGAGGTTTATCCTACGCTCTGACGATGACTACAAGTCTAGACTTATTTCCTTCAAGCTCAAGTTCCCTTATGGAATGATCTACCGGCTGAGCTCAGGCAAGCTATCTCTGCGCCGTCCTTTAAGCGCTTACCTGTTAATTATTATGACAAATATTTGTCTTCCTTTAAGACCACTTCTACCTGTTCTTGGGTGACGAAATGCCGCTGCTCCAACTGTAGGGCTTAGCCATTCCTTTATTAGTTACCTGTTTGATCTCTTTTTTTCTTCTTGATTTTAGTTGGAGACTATCCTATAGGTGGAATGCCACCTGTCTAGTTCTCCGCAACAGTTTAATTGTTGGAAGCTTAATAAATAAAAATGTAGATAAAATGATTTGCAAGATGGCAAAAGAATACGAAATAGCGAAGAAGGAGGAACTGAAGCAGACGCTCCAGGAACTAACAACAGTAAATAATGAAGAGCAAACCGCTATTAAAACGAGATTAAAAGATCAGAAAAAATTGTGCAACATTGCCGAGCACTGTTGGAGAGAGATGTAGCATATGAGGAAATCGAAAGTAAGGAAATGATTCTAGAAAGAGCTAAGATGTTAAAGAATCTCCTTTGATCTTATGCCATCGGCCAATCCAGCGTGACGTGACATTATACAGTCAATTCAAAAAACGTTGTCGTCGACAGGCTCAAGCCTACGCCACTGGACCGAAAGGAATATGGGTAAAAATCACTGAAGCGGTTAAATATTCGTTCTGAATTAATTGTTTCTGCTAGTAATAAGATAATAATGGCGAGAAACAATYCATCAAATGCATGTCTTCGGGTTTAGGGAAAGAAAAACAAAGTAGTTATGATTCAGTTCACAATTCTGAAAATATGAATGCATTAAAAAAACGTATCCTTCAACATTTCCCGCTCGCCTAAGAAGGTTCATGCTGTAAACCAGGCATAACTAGTCAGATAAAATGATGGAGTCAACTCGGCTTCAATGATTGCTACCCAGAGTTCCTTTCGGTCCAGTCGCGCAGGCTTGAGTTGGTCGACGACAACATTTTTTTGAATTGACTGTATTACGTATTACTCCGTGAAAGAGAAAGTCAGGCAAGTCATAATATTCTATATAGCTTCAATATCCTGGAGAGCTCAACAACTCTTTACATTACATGTTCTAGCATAAAAAGTTAAGGAATAAAATAGCATTCAATATTTTCAACAATTCATTCAATTTCAATTTTCATTCAATTTCAACATTAATATAATTACATATGCAAATAAAGATCATAAAAACTCTACATAAAAATATGTATCAAGACTAAGCTTTCTTAAAAAGGAAGGTTTTAATAAGCTCAAGCTTAAAACTCAAAATATTTCTGCATGACCTCATGTGCATGAAGGGAAATCTATAGTTCTGGCGCAGCATTTGAGAATGCTCTTTTACCATAGGATTTAAGTTTGAAAGAACCTTTGGTTAAAAGATTGGATGATTGTGATCTCAGTTGACGAGCTGGCACATACGGTTTTACCAGTTCACTAAGATATGAGAGAGCACAGCCATTCATAGCCTTGAAAGTTATTAAAAGTATCTTGTAGTCAATTCGTTGTTCAACGGGCAGCCAGTGTAAGTGATAGAGAATGGGAGTTATATGTTCGTATTTGTGACCGCAGGATACTAAACGTGCTGCTGCATTTTGAACTCGCTGACGTTTTTGAATTAAGTGTTTTGGCAACCCATACAACAAAGAATTACAGAAGTCTAGAGGCTTCAAAAGAAATACATTTACGGATTTTCCGAATATTTCTTATGTTGAAGAAACATGATTTGCAAATGAAGATAATCTGGTCTTCAAGAGACATTTTGTCATCAAAGATGACTTCTATATTGCGAACTGATGATGAAGAAGAAATATTATGATCACAGCGTTTGATAGAAGCAATAGGTGGCCTGGGACGATCATGAGCAGGCGACAGTACAGCAATCTCTGTTTTGTCAGTGTTCAATTTAAGCTTGTTTCTAGTCATCCATTTAGGAATTTCACTTACACAAGACTTTATTCTGAATTTGGCAGACCATTTCAGCAGAAGAGGATGTTTCAAATGTGCTATCAGCATTCAAGTGAAAATTAATATCATATTCTCCCGAGATGTCCCCAATAGGTGACGTGCACATCAAAAACAAAATAGGACCCAAGATAGAACCTGTAGCACACCACTATGCTCAGAGCGACAGGATGATACACCACCCTGAACAGCAACACGAAAGCTCCTATCAGCCAAGTAAATTTCAAACCATTTCAAGTCAATGCCATGCCAGTCACACCAAACCTTGAAGACATCCTTTCTAACAAGATCTTATAATTAACCGAGTCAAACGCTGCTGAAAGTTTAAGCAACACCAAAACAACACAACGTTGACCATCAATTGCTTTCAAGATATAATTCTGCACCCTTAAAAGAGCAGTCTCTAGACTGTGATACCTCTTATACGCAGATTGGAAAGGCTCATGCAATTTGTTTTTTTTATCAAGATGGTCAATGAGCTGTACAGCAACAACTTTCTCAATAGCCTTCGAAAGGAACTGTAAGTTCGATACAGGTCTAAAGCAAAGTAAGCAAGAAAATTCCTCAGTGGACATGCTCTGCTTTTTAAGAACCGGTTTTACAGTAGCTTGCTTGAAATTAGATGGAAACGTTCCAGAAACAGACAGATTTACGATCTTGTTGATAATAGGAAGAAGAGGACCAAACAGCTTTTCAGAATCCTACTGCACAGGATCAAGATCGCAAGATTTAGATGTTAAGGGAGTAATGAGTTTAGAAATGCCAACTGCTGAAATCTCTTGAAAAGATGACAAAAAATCTCATAACATAGAAGGCTCTGGAAGAGTGTCACTTTCAGATAGACCTTCGAAACCAGCCTGGATAGAATTTATTTTACTTTCAAAAAAATCAGCAAAACAATCTGCCAAATCTTTGGAAGAACGAAAAGAAGGAAATAGTTGATTAGCATTCATATTTGTCCATTTCTGAAAAGTGGAAAACAGAACTTTCTGATTGGACTGATTCTCGGATATAATATCCGAATAAAACTCATTTTCAGCTTTCTTAATTAGGTTTCGAACAACATACCGATCAACGTATAAAATTTTGACGATCAATGATAAGACGAGACTTTCGCCATGTCCTCTCGAGACGCCTTCGTTTTACTTTACTGAGCAACCTTGATTTCATCAGCTCTCTGAGTAATTGAAAGACCAACACCACCAACTCTGCCTTCCCTCGCAATGTGTTCGAATAACTAGCCGTTTGGCAACATTTCATTTATAATTAGTTGATTCGATTCATTAGATTTCAACCTTGTTTCAGTTATACCGTTAAAAACTCAATATTTTCATCAATAACGAAATCATTTATCATTGAGGACTTGTTGCAAATTGATCTAGAATTTAACAGGCATAATTTAGAAGGTTTACTGACCTGACGTTGTAAAGGAATACGGTTAGGAATCAAGAGATTCGATGGATTTACATCAGTTTGCCGGTTTAAATATGCAGTCGTCGATGTGGAACACGAGAAACGATTTTGAATATTTAATTCGTGTAAAGAACAAACAGAAAATGAAGATTTCGTAACCCTTCTCTCACAATTAGATGATGAAGCTTGGCCGTCTCGTTTGCCCCTAATTCTTGTCGACTTATCCAGTGGAAATCCTTGTGAACTGGTATTCCGTAGTACAATGGCGGGAAATTTGAAGTTGTGGTAGCATTTAGCGATTTCCACCAGACACCGCGAAAGAAGGAAATTTTTTTTAATAAGAAATCATAATCAAAAGCCTTAAATACCGTTAAAAGTATGTAAAGTAAAAAAGAGAGTGATATAAGATAAAAAAAACTTTAAAAACTAGAGAGCTCATAAATCAGCAGCTTCACTCGAGCGCTAATTAAGAACACAATAGAGTTTTTGCACCATCACGTGTCGGCGCCCATAATACAGCTTGCACTGCCTGTGGTTAGATGGCAGAACAATAAAATCTCTTTTTCTCTTGGGAATTGAATTCCTTCTCATGTAAAACGACTGTATTGTTCCTGCCATCTAACATGGCTGCCGTCACGTGGTGGTGCAAAACCTCTGCTCTCTTACTCCGACGAAGGACTAGAGTCCGAAACGTCAGTACGTTTTTTCATCTTTTCACGGTGTATAATTTACCTTTTGATCATTACTGTTTCATTAGAAACACCGACGCAGCTCACACTAGTTTTTAGCTAGTTATATCCTCTATTGAATCAGTCAAGAAAGGGTATGGTGGTTATATAAACGAGTGCAAGAAGTGTGTCACACAAGAATCGAGTCTATCGATGTTAGAATTAAAGCTGTGGAGGGCAACGAGATGGAAAAAATGGAAAAAATTTAATTAGTTCTCAACAAATTTGGACATGACAATTACATATTAATTAGGTTAATATTGACCAGGCGGATTCCTGCCGTTTAAGCTTTCATACAAAGTATTACACATCACACAGTATATTATTTATCACCGCGTAATCATATTTTTCTAAAAGGTCACGCGACCTACCCCTTTAAAATGAAAGTTGTGACAAAATAAACACCACAAATGAAAACTGCACCTCGATATTAGTAAAGAGGTTTATTTCTATAAGAGTGCAAACAATTAATCCGTGAAACACTAATTACTAAATAGTACAAAATAGTGCTAATTAAACGATTGAAAACAATGAAATTTGCATGAAATTGTGCTATTTAGTAGTACTAAAGTTTCGCGGTTATATTGTTTGCACTCTATAAAATATCAAATATTTGAAGAGTTGTATGGGAAAAGGTTTTGGCTCAGACATGCTCATTTCTCGTGTTTCACACTTTATGAACTGATCTTCGTCTTCTCACTTATATTGAGATGTAGTGTTTCTTTCATGCCTTTCTGGCCGGTCTAAGGGGTGTAGGGGTCTAAGGGGTGTAGGGTCACGTGAGTTCAGGTCTAACGACAACCATTGATTATCATTCTACGTGGTCAATACACCTCTTCTTTTGGGTTTGGGACTTTGTCGACTTTGTTTTCGTTGTCTTAAAGTGCTCTGTGCCGATTTTCCAGCTGATGGCGCAGTTCTAGCTTCTTTAGAAAACTGCACGTTTCTGCCCTTTCGAGGAATCATTTTGACGGGTTTGTATGCTTCCTTATCAAGGTAATGACTCAGGATAGCATGAAGATCAGGAGTCTTGGTCCTTGCCTCACAAGGCACGATCTCTGTAGCGTCTGAACTTTCCGAGACTAACATCAAAGAATTTTCACTGTTACTTGATGTTGCGCTGGTCACGCGAGACCTTCTGCCGTCAGCAATATCAATCCAGGAGTTTTTAGTCATGTGTGGTGTTTCGTTTCTTGCTGTTATACGAGATCCAGTTCGTGAATCGAGTCGGGAGTCAGTTACAGTACGCCGAGTATAGTTATGTCGAGACGGCGACTCTAAGCGATCAATAAAATCGAGTGATGTCTTTGGACGAGAAGTTAGAGATACTCTCGGAGTACGAGTACATGCCGACCGAGATCCCATAATTCGTATGTCATCCCCATCAAGTTGCATTCTCGAGATGTCCCTGCGAACTTTCTTGATCCATTCTTTGTCACTGAGGAAATATTCAGTGTCTCGAATACCATCTGAAGCGAAGCCTTCAGTTTTCAAAATATGAGCACAATAGAAGTGTCCCATCTTAGCCGCCAACAAGTAAGCAGAAAAACCTTTCTTGTTCCTTAGATCAACACTTAATCGGTATTTCATGATCTTCTTCAGCATATAACACAAGGCTTTGGCATTTCCAGACATGGCTGCATACATCAGCGGCGTGTTGCCCTCTTCGTCTTGTTCATTGATGTCATACTCAATGTCTTCCAGTAGCATCTCAACGATTTTTTCTTTGCCATTCATACAAGCGTAGGAAAGTGCAGTTCTTTTAAATCTATCCTTGGTACTAACGACTGCACCTTTGTCTATCAGCATTCGAGCTATTTTTGCTGCTATATTCTGTTTCTCGATAAAGCAAGCTTGCATCAAAGACGTTTTTGAGTCTTTGTCTGTGGAAATATTTGGATCTGTTCCTATGTCCAGCAGCAGTCTTGTCTGATGAATGCGGCCACATTTGACAGCCATCAGAAGAGACATTCTTCAAGCTCACTTGAATATTTTTTACCAATGTATTGTGAGTATTTTAGATTATAAAAATGCAATAATTCACTAAGAAGCATGGCAGCCAGTAACAAATCAAAGCAAGACTCAACCCGTCAGACAGGGTCAACGAAATCACTAAGCTTCTCTAACTCATATTTCTCAAATCACATACCAACAATCATACCAATATTGTGTTTAGAAATCCATCTGCGGCTATATTTACTTCTGATTTCAATTTCGAAGCGACTTATTTATTCGGATTTTGGCACAACAAACTGTGTGATTATTGTGTCCAAGAGACAGATTACCTGGCGTGAAGCTTTGCATTGTTCTGCCGACCTCTAAAGAAACAGGTTACTCCCTCGGGACATATAACAAACACCACCTCTTTGCACAAGGAATTATGATCCGTTAGGCAAATTTGACGCTTTGTAGCTATTGTTCACACGTAAATAAAAAGTAGAGTTTACAGAAGAAGAAAAAACACATCACAAAACAAAGCGAAAAAGTCATCTTCTTGCCGAAATAAATGTGCAAATTGACTTCAAAACGATTTGTTTTTGTATAACAAGAATTCGCGATTAGTGACTACCGATGCTTGTAATTCTTATTATTCTTACCGATGCTTGTAGTTATTGCATTACTGAATACAACTGGTTGATTTTATTGTGTCTTTGTAAATACAACTATTCAAAACGCCTTACCGATGCTGATCGATCAGAAGAAAAAAATAGATATAGCTAACGACAATCTCAGTTTTAGAAGCCAAAAGACTTATGCAACAAATGCCCTTGGAAAAATTTCCAATTTTTCCTTTTCAATTTCTCCTACTGGTAACATTTTTAATTTTATCGTCCCTAGGCAGTCTTGAACTGTTTTCCACCATCCATACTAAGCTATTTAGAAGTGAGTACATTTTATACGTTTTGGCCGAAAGTTCAGAAGACGACACTAAGTGCCAACTAAAGCCTCTGGATTAGCCATCCCGCCCCTTCTCCAGAGCTTTTCCGAATCACGCATTTCAATGAAAAGGGTCGGTGAGTACTTATGTCAGTGCCAGCATGGTACTATATTATGACATGATGTGGCCCGCAGCAAAAGCATCTTTGTACCCATTTAATTCAGTCGTTTACATGTCATGGTTAGGAAGAAACTCAGTAGAGCTTCATATTTGTCACTTGTTTTAGGATAGGATTAGATAAAAGAAAACTGCACTCGATGTAGAAAGTAAGGATTACATACCATCTTGGTCTAATTGATCTGTCTCAGGGTAACCGAGTGTGAAATTACTGTAAGTGGACCATGAAGTTAATGTACTAATGTAGTGGGCTTATTGGAACAAAAAGCTGGACAAAGCTACCAACATCACTAGTTGAAAAAGGGTTGCGGGGTTTATCACCGGGATTTTACGGTATTAGAGAGTTTTAGATTGACTTTTTTTTCTCCCCGCAAACGTATTTTACTTTACCTTTTACAAACCTTCTCACCAAGCGCAAATATTTTTTTGTAATTTTCTACTACTTGGACTTTTTTTGCGATTCTTTTTCAGTCATTTAAAAGAATTTTTTACTGGTCAACTGACGTTTCACGTTTGCCGTGAACATAAATCTAAAACTCTCTATTGCACTTAGAAGCACGGTGGGCATGATTTGAACGGCTGCCTCCGGCCTTGTTTACTGAATTAGTGTAGTAGTTGGACTTATAACGGAAAAGCTCATAATCGGGGTGGGATGGGAGGTTACAATAGGGATTTTAGAAACATTTGCTACGCATTTTCCACAATAGCGAGTAGTATCGTTACACAAAAAGACAGACCACCAGCCTTCCGTTAAACAAATTTATTAATTATTACGTTACCGAATGGAAGAAGAAAAGGTAAATAATACATTGAATACAAAGTACTGGCATGTACCTCTTTCATCGTTGGAGTATATTTTCTACTTCTTTCTACTTCTACGCAGCACCAGGGTAAATATTTCGGGCATCAATCACTTGCATCACCGTACCGGACTGAAAAAAAGAAAGCAAGCAAGACCGACCGACCACGGCCAACCGGGCGTACGGACATTATGACTGACAAACAAACCGAAAAACAACCAACCCAAACAATGACCAAACTAATTAACAAACCAATAACGCAAAAAAGGACACAAAGACAGAAAAAGCAAACCAACCATCAATACAACTGCAAATTCCTCAGCTTTGTAAATTTTGTTAAAGACAAAAGTACCGTGCAGGGATTGGGACGGCGCTATACTATGCCCAACAGCGAATATCGGCCGCCATTGAAATAATTACTGGCTAGCCTCGCCTTTCTCGTATTTTTTACATTTTGAAATTCTCTTGACTTTTCAATAATTTGATATATTTTTACCTCGAATTTTTTTAACTTTTTAAATTTTCTAAGGTTTGATTTCGGTGATTAATTCAAATACGATTGACAAAATTATGATAAATGAGTGGCGGCCATATTTGGGTTCGGTTAAATCAAAGGAGCCAAACATTATGACCATCGGGATCGAGTAGCCTCCTTTGCTGGCGTCTAAGGCTTTCACAGGTTTCCACGTCCCTTGTGGAAATCAGCATTAATCGACGGGGCAAGCGTGTATAACATTTTTCTTGGTGCTTAAAACATAGGTTTCATATTGAAAACGTCGCAAAGTGACGGATGTCCTTCCGCTGCCAATACTAGCAGCGCACGCCGCATTTATTACGTTAAAAATACTGATTGTGACATAGTCTTATTTGCTATGGCAGCGGTCTTACCTTATCAATAACCTTGAATAATTGTGTTCAAGTGATTAAGCACTGAAATGATCTCAGCACTGAATCTTGATCTCAGCTCATTAGAGACCGTTCATATATTTTATCGGGGAGGGGGTTATTCGAAAAATCCGGATCAAGAAAAGTGAAAAATATTCAAATCCCACAGCACTTTTACAAGAAACAGGTTAGAAAACGAGCATGTCATTTTCTACGTAACAACAGAGGGATGGTTAGATTTTTCGTACAATCGCACCGTCCCCTCCCCCTCCTAGATAATAAAGGAATGGTGCCTTGACATTGGTTAACAAGATCATAAAAGCCATCAACATCATCGCTGGTAAAGTTGGACAAGGCAGATCTCTTAATAATGCAAAAAAGACGGTGTGAGCTGACGTCCAACGATTTGTCCATGTAACAACCTTGGCTAATGTGGCCAAGCGCCATTGATGACGTGTGACATGCATAAAAAATCTTTTATCCCCTGGGTTTGCATCATGTCCTGTCTCTGCGAACAAACTTAGCCAACCCCAACTGAATTTCAAATTAACTATATCACTTACCTTGAAAGAAAGATTTTAACTTAGGGGTTAAAACCCAAAAAATTGTACGCATCACGTATTTCACAAAAGGTTCTCGGAACAAAGGCACCAATTGAGGAAGTGCAGACCAAGATTGCATTACAATAACACCGAAAAGTACTGTGCTTTTGTGCTCTGACAACCTTTTKTTGCAACTGCTACAAATGATTTGATCTGAAATTGGGATAACACATGCACACACCCGATCTTCCATAATCGCTGTAACCCTTGGTGATCACAATCTAGGCGAAGAACAAATGAAAAAACAAGCAAGATGAATAAATGAAAGAAAAAGAAACGCGCCTGGCACAAATAACATAACGTTTTTACTCTATTAAGCTCCCCGGAGGTCTTTTTTAGTGCTGTTCGACTAGGGGGCTTACCACAAAGGGGGGCTTACTACAAAAGGGGGCTTATTAGAGGCTGGGGCTTCATAAATTTTGTTGATATTTGAACATTCATAATTTTTTTATTATTCATAATCTATACAGGTGAAATGACTATCAAAGGCCACCAAGAGGAGAAGGACTACAACGTTCTTTAGGGGTGGGGGCTTATTAGAAGATGGGAGCTTATTAGAGGATGGGGGATTTAAGAGGATGGCTGAACAGGGGCTGGTGAAAGTCTGTACTGGATTTCGGCAATTGAAGCGCGCAAATAACAATAATCAATCTGCAGCTGAAATAGAGGTTGGTGACGGTTTTGTTGCACACTAGGCCTGAACTGCACTAAGCCGTGATCGATGTGAATACAAAAAGTTCACAAATTTCGGCATTTTCCTAAACCTTTACTGCACTGGCGTTTCCGCACCGTGACATTCATATTTACATGTGACTTAAAAACCTTTACCAACCTTTTTTCAAATAGCATTGATCACCTAGAGGAATTGTTCTGGGGGACAAAACAATAGGCCGTTTTTCTCGTGCAAAAAAAACTTCCATTATTTTTTCCCCAAGAAACAATTCCGCCTCTCGGGACTTCGTGCAAGGGGTGTATACCTATTTGACATTAATGATTACATAAATGCAAAGTAGATGGCTTCATTGGAACTAGTTGTGTTTGACTAAGCGTGGTATATGGCAATAGAGGCTTTGCACTGGTACGTGACAGCAGCCATGACAGGAGGCACAACAATAGTCTTTTTCCTCTGGGAAACTTAATTATTTTTCATATCAATAAGATTAGATAATTTTCAATTGTTTCTGCCTCATGTCATGGCTGCAATAACGTGATGGTGCAAAGCTTCTATGGGGAGCTCAAGTCACTGAAAGCAATTCCCTGGGGACATTGAAGTAAGATAACGTGAAATCCCGGTTATAAGCCCTGGGATTACACTCATTCGTAATGGTTTTTGGTTGGCTGGAGGGCTTATATTCGGGGGAGCTTATGTTTCGATAAAAATTTATTTCCATTGACTTCCCAGTTCATCTTTCATACTAATGAAATGAACAAAAGGAATCCCAAGGTGGGCTTATAAACGGGGAAGGGCGCGTATCTCGTAACTGTAAGGACTGATATTTGATTTAGCAGACTAGTGGGCTTATAGCCGCGAGGCTTCTACCTGAAAAGATAATTGCGTTAGCAGCCCTGAAAGCCCTTTTGCTATTACCAGACACTTTACCATCGATAAGGGAAGGAGTCCGACAAAATAAGGCCTTTCATGCGGTCTCTATGCAAAGTGCGTGTAGGAATATATATATATAAAACCATGAGCAAGCCGGGTAAGTATCAAAGTAAGGATATCGGTAAGATTGATAAAAGCAGTGCGGTTACATATAATGAAGAGTACATGTCTGATCATGTCTCATCAGTGAAACAATTCAAAGAGCACAATATCAGTTTGGGATACACATCCAATCGTGCTGCGCTGTTTGCCTTTTATCTTCAGATTATTTAACCACGAGAGTTAGGCTGCAGGCTGCATACTTAATCGATTGGTGCCTAGAAAGCAGTGCTGTCCCATTACAACCTTTTTCTATAAGAGCCATCCCCCTCCACGAAGTCGTGAATGAAATAGGAGAGTTATTGGTAGGAAATGTGACATAAATAAAAGATTGGTTCATATTCCTCTTTAAACTAAAACAAAAATTTTCTTTTGCTTGAGATGGTTTTAGGTTTCCACCAATCGAAATATGTCAACCAATGTGAACAACTATTGTTATGGACTAACTAGCGACTGACTAGCCTGACTGACTAGAAACATAAGAGCGCTTACACGTGTATGAGGCTAGCCAGTCCAGAGCAATAGTTATTCAAATTGGTCGCCATTTGATTCGGTGTATGAGGAGTTGACATGAAACAATGCGGGATCGAACACCAAATATTCTGCTTGAAACTGGGTGATCAGTTTTTAGGCATAAAGCCAATGCTAACAATCTTTTTTAAAATATTTGATGGAATGGGAACAATGGGAATATAGTTTGTACCATATAAATACGGAATAAGGTGACATCTGGTGTAAGATTTGGGGAGTGGCCAGGGAACACGCAGTGCGGGCTGGGTGTGGCTGGGTGTAGATCCTGCTGACTTCGCATAGCAAATGTATATTAAAACAGCTAATCAAGCTAACTAATCATAAGGATCATAATTATGTGTAAATGACTCTGATTTACTAATAAAAGTTACTTGAAAGGTCAATGCAAACAAAACGTAACAAATAAACGGCGTTTCTTTGAGAACATGACAAAACAATTAATACAAATACTGCTTGTTGTAAGAAAGCACTTTAATAGTTGTATTTGAAATGTTGTGTTTGCAGAGACCTGTTTAATAGTGCCTTTATTACCATCTATCCTCTAATACATTGCCTAAAAAGTAAAAAAAAAACCACAGGCATTGTTTAAACTTCATGTGCACATATACACTCAGATTGTCAGGTTCAAACGAACAGCATAAAGACCGAAATGGTACGTTAATAAGATGTATCTAGTGATTAAACATGTGGAATGTTTAGAAATTGAATATTGTACTCTATGATGTATGTTTTGAACCCCACATCATATTTTGCAATTAACCTTTTTACTAATACGGCGGCCATCATGAATTATGGGATGCCAAGAGGGCAAACGTAAAACATTTATAAAGCAGAGTGGCCAGATTACGTTTTAGAATAATTTGAAGTGTTGCTGTTCCGCATATCATTCCAACTATCGGCAAATTTAATCAATTTTTTGATGTGCTTCTTATTGAAAAGCAAAAGTTATATAAAAAAATAAAGTTATGTAGTTGCCCCATAGGCATCCAATGTCTTGAACTCAATATGGCGGTCGTATTAATTAAAAAGTCTTTGAGTGTTTACTAAATATAAACATTTCCATCAACGCATTTCAAGCTCTAAGAGACCTTATTCATTATTTAGAGTGGTTTTATCCCTGAAATAAAAAAATACTTGTCAATTGCGTAATAGTAAAATGGAAATAAGTATTTCACAGGCTAATAGGAAAAACCACTCTAAACAAGAACATTTCTCAAAATAAATGAAATGTGATGTGTTTGTGGAATGACTTTTCTTTGCCATGCTAGATCAAGGGGAATTATTGCTTAACATATTATCATGATTATCATCCATTCAAGCAAGAAGCATTTATTCTGTAATATAGTAATATAAAGGCATTGTGTTCTTACATAAACTCCCCCTCTGCCCCTTCCTCCAGGTACTAGGATATAAACTTGGCATTCTACCCCTTAGAGAATGGTCCATTTTCACATGTTCATTGCCTTTACCCTGGGAATAAGGGTTTCAAAAATCAAAACTGTGGCGTACTACTAAACAGCGCAAGCCAATTATTATGAATACTATAAATACGACAAGCTAGCGAATTTCATATTGAATTTCACGAGAAAACTGATATAATGAATCCAGAAGTGATTTGAGCAACAATGTTATCCAAATGAAATTCTGTGGAATTCTCAACTCAAACAATGAATTTTACTTAAATCCCAAGCCAAAAGATTGAAAAAAGACCCATTTATATGATTGTGTATTTTATGATTTACAAGACAAAAATATTAACACGGGCTCCCTGTATTTTTATGCGATTCAGCTTTTCAAATTTCCTCAATTTTAATCTAATTTTCGGGAACGTGTCGTATTGTTGTGTTTTTTTTGTTCTTTTAAAAACAGGCTTCATGTTTATTTGGTGCTTTTAGGGGAAAGAATGAACAAGAATTATGATTTAATCCAAAATTTAACATGGGCTACCATGTGAAATACCCCTTACGTAAGTCATCTCTAGCCAATCAGTGCACATATTTATGATGAGCTATGGGGTTCTTTAAGTTGTGAATAGATGTACTAAGCCAGGACAATAGCACACTGGGTATTCATGATATTCAAGGGTAAGCAAGATGACATTTTCAGTTTGCCTGCTTTTCACCTCATCTTGAATTTTCTGCAAATAAGAGACTTTCAACTGTCATAATTCATGCCAAAGTACAATTTTCTTCTAACAAAAGAATAGTAACAAAAACCAAAGAAATGATGAGCTGACATGCTATGATTTAAAGTCAAACTGAAAAAATCATTCCATGTTTTCCCACATGAGGTAGCCATTATTATAAAAGGGAAGCACTGTAGGCCAGGATAAGGAAGAAACTGCTGATTTGTACAAGGGACATGGGTTAAATTACTGTATGGATCATAACATTAAAGGAGGGGTTTAATAGTACAAGACCTGTTCACCATGGACCACAGTCAATAGGTGGCCACATACGCGTTGTTCCTATGTGAAAAAATGCTTTTGTTTGGTGTTCCAATCGATGTCATGTTGACACTTTTTATTTCCAAACTGACTACTGGCCAGAAATTTGTTATTCCAGTACAGTATGTGGCTGTTGCATGAACAAGGTCCATTATATAGTAAAACATATTTGCATTAAATAATTACTTCTGATCAACATATTCTTTTCATTTTTAATAGTAACCACATTTCCTTAAAATATCATGTCTCGAACAAAAAGTGATGACCGTTTCGTACATTGAGGGTCATCAAGCCCCATTAGAAACGTTTCTTAAACAAAATGCTTAATGAAACATAAAACCTTATACTTGCTCAAGACATTTGAAATCGCAAGAAAATTCGGTTCCTATTAAATGGCAAAGGAAATTATCTTTAATAAGTATTCTTTTAATATGTTTATAGTTAAATTTTGACACAATTATTGAAGAAGACTGTACAGAATTATCAAAAATAAACCTTAGTATCATCTTCAAAAACATTATTTTGTAGAATTCATCAACCGTCATTTTTCAATTCCTGTAAAGACTTACTTCAACATTATGAATAATATTATATGGCAAAATAATATTTTAATTTTTAAAACATGCAGCACACTTACACTTTGCTTTTTAAACTAAGAATGCCTAGAAAAGCTAGACATGAATCCAAATACATGATTATATCATAAAACAGTGTAATAATAACAATTTAAAATAATATAATGACATAGGTTAGAGGATAATAATTATAAGAAGCAAACCAGTCTACAAACCCTTTTGCTTTTAGTTCTGCATGTGCAATGCCAATACCAAGTTCACTTGTAAAGAAGCAGACTTTTGTTAATGAGCTGGTACTGACCTCATGGATAAAGTTTCCTGCATTAACAACTGGATGGACTAGACTTGAAGTTCAAAATCTAGGACGCTTGTTGGCTTCATAGAATTCTCCCATTCCTTGCATCAATGGTTGAGGTTGATTCAGATATGACTGATCAGTTAGCTGTTGATCAGGATTAGCTCTCTTCTGACCATGCTGGTTGGGATCATTTGAAGATGCCTACAAAAACACATCCAGTATCATCTATCAAGCAATATATCAAGGAAAAAGAGTTTGCTAATATTCTTACCCAAGGATTATTGGATTTCAACTTAAATTTAATTTTTATTTCCCTGGTTGTCTACCCATTTTGGAAATTCCACGTCAGCCCCCCCCCCACTCTTGAGATATTGCTCTTTTCACTGTTCATATAGGAGGTTTTATGGAATTTTTTTTCTTTCGAGGTCACATTCTTGCACAAGCAGTTCGCTGCCCATCAAATTTTATAAAAACATCCCATCTGCTTTCAGTTATAGATTAAACATGCTTTTCTCTTTTCAAATATAAGAATATCCAAAGCACACGAGTATTTTAATTTATATTTCTAGCAAAATACTATTAATATTACAAGAACAAATTTTGATGGCCCGCCAGAAATGTGAGGATAAAACCTCCCTTAATCGTAAAAAACATCAACGAACACACTAAACAACGCATTTAGTTACTGACTTACAGAGGTCATAATATGTATACCTGAGTACTGTACATAACTGGCGCAGCTGAATGTTGTGGTATTGGTGAAGGAGTTGATGTATTTGAAGGCATTTGAAGCTGACAAAGAAGAAAGAAAAAAACAGTGAAAAAGAGTGAGAAATTCCATGAGGTTCTAAAAAACTGCAAGCCGGATAGATGGAGGGATATACATGTAGATGAGCAAGATAAAAAGGCAAACTGCAAAATACTAACTGTTGTAGTCAGAGAGATATTTTCTCCATATTTATTTCCAGTGTTATTAAACTGAAATTTACAATCTACCTGCTGCTGTTGATAGCTGTGATCAAGTGTGCGGAACTGTTGTGTTGGATTGAACATTTGGTGTTGTTCCTGTTGAAGCTGGCCAGGACCAGGACCAGGACCAGGTTGTGATTGTATTGTGGGTTGCTGAACTGGTCTCCATTGCTGTGCTGAGGTATCACAGATTTGTTGTTCCTGTTCTCCTGAAGGTACTTGGAAACCTTGCAAAGACATCATGGGTGTTGGCTGTAGTACATTCGCTGCAGTTTGCACCCATTTTGTCTCTGCAGCTGCTACCATGGGACCCTAAGGGATAAGAGAGAATTTTCTAGTTAGAAAAGAATAATGTGGATCATTGCAAAACCAAAACAAATTATAAGTAAATAATAGCTGCATTTTTTAATGGTGTCATGTATTAGTGTTTTAAAAGTAGGCACATGACTGTACAGGCAACTAACATAACTTTTAATAACTCTTACTAAATCTTCATTCCTCAGCCTCCTACCTGTTGGAACATTTGTTGTGAAGGCTGAACCACTTGTCCCTGTTGATTAGGATAGCCTGGCAGCTGATGATGGTGGAAAGGTTGTTGAATTGGTTTTTGCATTAGCTGTACAACCTGTGGAATTTCCTGTGATTGAGGTGCATGTCCTACTGGTTGTTGTTGTTGCGGTGGTGGTGGTGGTTGTACATGATCAGCCGTGAATGGCATTCCAACTTGTTCTACTAAAGGACCCTAAACATGTTTTGGATGGTAAAAATAAATGCAGTACTACGCAGCAAAAAGGCATGGCAAATAAAGCATGTTCAGAGACAGACTTTAGGACTGGAATAAATAATAAGCTAAACCTGAATGAAACATATATATGACAACATTATGAGAAATTGCTCTAGAAATTATTATAAGAAATTGCTTCCAATTGCGTTAGAACATGGAAATGAATTCTGAATAGTTTTAATTATTCCCCATTTGAAGGAATTTCCACTTATTCCCAACACAATGTTAAGAAATAGGTTACATTTGTGTCCTCAGAATAACCTGGGACCAATAATCTTTTCTGTTGTTTCCTTAGCTTGTTGTTAATTGGGGTAAAGAAGAAGAAGAAGAAAATGATAATGATGATATGGTAATGTGACCATGATGGTAATATGATGAATAATGACAATAATAATAATAATTTGACTTATTAGTTATTACATATCTATTAACCTAGATCACCAAGTCAATAATTTAGATATTAACCTTGAATTTGTGTCCATTTCTCATTATAAAATCAAAGTACAGATAAACAGGAGCATAAGCTTGCCTCATTGAGGCATGGCTTACTACAAACAATCCACTGCAACATTAAATCTTATCATACTGTTGGGATTTGCCTTGTAAAAGCCCTATCAAATTTCAACTGTATTAGATGAGCCTACATAATCTATATTGGCTTGATGCCAAAGGGATATAATAATAATAATAATAATAATAATAATA